TCACGAACACACACGAATCTGACCGGCGGGCGTTATCGGTTCCCTGGCCTTCGGGGCTCGTCGGGTGAGAACAGCGAAAACGGCCGAAATCGGCCTGGTGTGTCAGGGCCTTAACGGTCAGAAAGAGATGTCAATTGTCAAAATCAAAAAAGAGGGGCCAGAGATAAGGAAAATCCACCCAAATGGCCCCAGAAGAGGTTTTTTTGTGCTAAATCTGTCTAAAAAGGTCAAATATCACTTGTTTTGCATCAATCTTGATACAGGGTACTTATTATATGTTGTACTTTGGATTCCTAAAGCTTTTAGTCTAGTAACCCATCATCCAAGGTTAGTTTTCACTATAAATACAACATATTTTTTGGACTGACACTATAATTTACAGTTTTTTACCATGTTCAATCTGAATTTTCTTTTAAATAAAAAACATCTATATTGATTCGGACTTTTCTACATCCAACTCACAGGTTTATCATTACTTTGAGAAAAAAGATTATTAATTTAACCCTTTTAGAAGGGAAGATATGTTCATTTGTTCTGGGAATGTCATTTTCGAGCCTGAAACCTGAAAAACAGGCTCGGGTTTAACAGGTTAAATTATGTTATACAATGCACCTAATAAACAAGTATGGCATTTTGAAACATGGTGTGCAATAATTCTTACTGTAATTTGTGTGCATTTTGTTGTTAACTAAGATGATGTTATGATTTATTTGTTGTTAGTATGCACCTGGAAGCTTTGGACATACCTGGAGAAGGAAGAAATGGGTCTTCGGAATGATGGGAGTTACAGACAAAAGGCGGAGACTAATGTTGAAACTAGTGGAGAAACGATCCAGTCGGACGACGAAGCATGCCCTGTCGCCCAAACTCAAATTTGGTGTGTCCCGCATATGGCCGTCGGCCGTGATGCGCCTTATTTGGCCTTTCATGGCCGACGCACTGCCGATTCAACATGTTGAGTCGGCCGTGCGTCGGCCACAGGCAGTCGGACAAATAAATCACTCTGATTGGCTGTTCAGCTAGCGAATCAGTGCATGAGAAGCGAAACGGTTGCTTGAGAATGTCTTCCACAAGCAACACTCCAATGGCTGATAGCTCCAGTACCGCACGAAACATGTTTTCGATGGACGAGAGTGAAAAAGGAACGTACACGCTATTTGTTGTTTGTTTATATCATGTAGACTGTTCTTCTTCTCTGTCTTCCGGTTGTTGCCTCTTTTGAATGACGAATACACACTACCGCCGCCTGCTGCTAAGGAGAGTTATTGCCACTCACACATGCGCAGTTCGTACGTGCTCGGCTGAAGTCTTTGCGGTGTGTTCCAGTACGACACATGGCCAAGACGCAGGAGAACAGCGACGCAACAGTCGGCGAGGCCTTTAAGCCCCGGACACACCAAGCCGATTTTGGCCGTCGATGGATGTCAGGCCGACGATGAGCATCCTGTCGCCCTACTCAGATTGGTGTGTCCCGCACCCTTGTGTCTTTTCGGCTGTGACATGTCGAATCGGTAGGCAATCGGCCAAAGGCTGTCGGTCAAATAAATCACTCTGATTAGCTGTTCAGCTAGCGAATCAGTGCATGAGAAGCGAAACGGAAGTGAGGGACCCAAACAAATTATTAAGAAGACACATCTGAGATTTAATTTAACTCCAGCTCTTGACACAGGTTCGGGAAAGCCCCATGAGCTTCTTGCTGTAGAGTGAAAATGGAACGCACACGGTTTTTGTTGTTTGTTTATATCACGCAGTCTGTCTTCTGGTTGCCTCTTTTGAATGATGAATACACACTACCGCCGCTTGCTGGTAAGGAGGGTTATTGCCACTCATGCATGCGCAGTGCGTACATGCTACTTGGCCGTCGGCTGAAGTCTTTGCGGTGTGTTCCAGTGCGACTCTTTGGCCAAGACGCAGGAGACGTGAGGCGACACAACAATCGGGTCCCGTCGGGACGTGTTCTTTGGTGTCAGTTTGGTGTGTCAGGGCCTTTAGGCCAAGAAGTCTACAGTTTATCATACCAGCTAAGCACAACAGCAGCTACATTAAACATTATTCCTGTATTTTCTGGTTCAGTTCATGGTAATGAAGATGAGATGATGTAGCGTTTTATCAGAATAAAAAACTGCAATAACTGAATTCATAAATAGCCCCTGCATGCATTAATGTCAAGGTAAAGTCACCAATGGATACTGAAGAACAGTTGCATTTGGCTGTGAACAGTTGAAATGCAGGCCATCAAAAAGAGCTTTGCAGTGCCCAGATGGATTTTAGAATACAAGATGGTGATAGTGATGGCCAGGCCGATGCACCACAGATGTGATACACTGAATAGGTAACAAAAAAAAAAGTCATATGGAAATTATTTTACACAGGATTACACAGTGATATCTTGTCAAATGCTTTCCTAGATGAAACAAGGCATCCAGCTGATTCAGCTTTTATAAGCCTACATCTTATACAGAGCATCTCTGAATCATGGTTAATTCTTAAGATGATGTTATAAAATTCAGTTTCATTGTAGCCTAATATTAAAACATAACAATGTACATAAGCTGGCTCAGGCAGAGGATTCCTGGAAACAACGTTTTTAAGTGTGTGTGTACTGTATTGTCTGTTGTAAAGCAGAGTTGTGGAATAAGGGCTGATGGGCTAAATAGTTCATCTGAATGTCAGGCGAGAAAGTGGATATTCGCCTACATGGCCCATGTTTCTAACAACTGGGGGAGTATCAATACCACATTGTTGTTGCCATGATGATAAGCTTTCCTGTTCGGTTTAGCAGACTTCTGGGCCTTAGTTCAGGGCTGCATATAATCGTTAGCCTTTAGCACAGTATCCATGCGCATACCATACATTTTTATGTAGATTAGTTCTTGCAAAGACTGGTAAAGGCTTTCAATAGTGCATGAATAGTTATTGGGCCTAGATATATTCACAGGAACACCAATGCTATGCTTACCATACAGTATAGTTCATGCTCATGTGTGTGCATTGTAATCTGACAAACAGAGGCTTGTTCTGTAGTCATTCTTTGCAGTCTGCCTTGTCATTTTCAGTTGCTTGCTGAGACTACGGGGCAACATTTGACCATTTGACATGCAGACACCGACCAACAAGGTTAAGCTAGCCTTTGATTTGACCCTTTTTAGTTATCTTGGCTCTGAATACGATTGCATATTACAAAGTAGGCTAATGAGCAAACCTGCTTGCTAATTGTTAGCTTTGTCACTTACTTTGCAGATTAGGTAAGCATATAGTGTAATCGACTGCTGCGTCATACAGCCTCACAGAGCTGTTTATTTTCTGGATCCAATGGAAAACTCACATTGCTTTTTGTCAAAGGAGCCCTTGCGATGCTTACTTTGGAGTTGGCCTACAAAATGCACCAGCACTGCACCACTAACTAACTAAGCTTGACCAACATGTTGGCATATTTCAGTGATGACAGTGACTGAGCCAAACAAGGACAGCCCCAGGACTTTGTGCATACTCTTTGATCTCACTCAGTTTTTTTCCTGTTCAGTCTGTTGACTTGTGCTATTATTTATTAATAATTCATAGATCTCTTTCTTTAGGGGGATGAAGTGCATTGAGTGGTTTGTGGTGACAGCTGTAGCTTCATACATGAAAAAACGTTTCAGTGCAATGGGAGGAGATTTTGCCGTTTGATGCTTTGTATGAGTACAGTACTTCATGATGAAGCACCTCCTACAGTGTGCTTACAGAAAGGTACCACACTGTGTTTCTTTGAAGCCCTGTTGAAGCAGTGCTCCCATGACTCAGCATCTCTCAAAACACTGCAGCATTCAGCACCCAGCCTAAAGCGGCTAGATCAATATTTCAAGGAGGATCAGAAGCTGCTGGGATGGACACAACAATAAGACATTAATGCTTAACCACGAATCACTTTGAATCCTCTGATGTCATTTGGACAGAAAAACAACAGAAACTCAACTCACTCTTTGTGGGACATTTTTCTGGAAAGAAATGTGGCTCTTGATTGAACATATAATAAAATTTTTGCTGATTCTCAATTGTTCAACTGCCCCGAATGTTCAAAAACAAAAACACAACAAAACATGAAACAAATGGACCACAAAATCGTTATTTTAAAATTTCACGGGGACAGCTCTAGATCATTATTAGATTCCATCTAAATGGGATTTTGAACATGTAGCCAGTGGGTTCCAAATATTTCTGTCACCCCCATAATAACAGGCATAACAAACTGTGTAATGATATGGAACAATTAATTATAACAATTATAAACTAACACTTAAATTCACTGAAAGAACAATAATGCATAAGCTGTGGGAATAGTTGACTGTCCCTATATAGATATTATGGGATGGGTAAAGGGGCTGGGCCAGTAGACAGGAACAGCTGGGCTCATGTAGAAACACTGATTCACTCTCAGATCAGGTTGCTGACCGACCGCCGCAGCATTCAGCCAGGCTCACATTCTGCTGCAGACCTCCACACCTTGAGGCCATAGACACGGTATCAAAGTGTGTCAGGACAAACAGCATTTTTTGACTGCGGGTCACACCCTTGTGTTGTAAAAGATGTTGGAAAACACAAGGGCTCAGCTGAGAAAGAAGCAGAACATAAATACTTTAAACAGAGATGAAGCCTTGTAAAACATTTTGGAGAGTATTTAGAAATACATGAAATACTCCAATTCCATTCTAACCAATAGCATACAAAGCAAAAGAATTGTGCAACATTAATTTAAGACAGTCATTTTACCTTTGACGTGTTCCCATACAAAAAATGCCTTTTGATCCTTGATTCCTTTGTTATACTGCATGGACTGCATTTATATACTGCAGCTCCTTTCCAGGATATGCCATCTCTCAAAGTGCTTTGACAGATACAAGTCAGCATTCACCCATTCACACATAATACTCTTAATGCAAAGTATCTACATTAATATTATGTTGGATTTC